CAATAAATACACGGCTTAGAATGCATGTTTAAAAAGCACAGCTCCTGCCAAACATCTAACTCCTTCTCTTTACCATATACTCAGGATGTCCTCACAGGTTCTGGTTCCTGTAGTATTATGAGCATGAAACAGCCTAACGCTGCTTTAAAGTGATCCAGCCTTGCAGGATGATAGGGATCATTACAAAAAGCTTATCCCCTCACTCATCAACAGAGAGTCATAAACTTTATCTCTTCTATTTCCCAACAAGACAACAGCCATGTACTCAGCTGGATCTGTGTTAAACATCAACAGAAAGTAAAAAACCTGAGCTGGATGGCTTTATCTGTCAATTACAGCTTCGGTAAACCCTGAAAATATCTCTTTTTTTATGTGACGCAATCTTTAGGCTTTCCTAGACAGCCAACCTTTACATAAGAATCACTTTAATGTCAACCAAACAACACTTATTTAGAGTTGTACAATGTATGGTGTTATATTTGTGTCACAAACCAATAAAGTCAATGTGAGCTCATATCTATGAGAACAAACAATAATTTGTGCCGTGTGCATTTAAATCTCACACATGCACTCAACTCTAACAAACCGTCTGTGCCTATGTGCTCAGGGTTAGACAATGTGAAGGTCAACAAATCACAATGCAAGCCAATCACAGAGAGATATTTACATTCACAATCAGCACATTAAATTACAGCAAGAGGTGGATGGAAAGAAAGACAGATAGGAAATGACGAGGAAGGACACAAGGAAGGAATGAGGTCAGAAAAAATGAATGGAGGAAAGATGAAGAATGAAAGAAACATATGAAATTAAAAATAAGTGAAGGAAATAAGAAAGAAAGGAATGGTCCAAGGACGCCAGAGGCGTGGCAAGAAAATTCTAAAAGGGGTGGCCAGTCAATAACCAAAGTACATTGAGGGGTGGCCGAAAGGCACCAGAACCTCGGGGTCAATCTACGCTGTTCCAAAAGGAACAAGCACAACATCCATTTTTTCTAAATTAAGACAAACTATACTTTCCTGCAGCCTTTGCTATCAAGACGGATATATTTAAACATCTATGCTGTGTAAATAAAAGGCATAGTGGACAACATTTTTTTCAGGTTGGAGTTCTGGGGCAAACATAAATTGCATTGTCATTACTTTTATCAATAATCATTCTGCAAATAAATTATATTTAAATCTACTAATATCCACATTTAATGAATTTTTAAGTTATTATTAAAGTAGTTATTTATCTATGATTTCACTGAAGACTTGCAAAGGCACATCATTTCATCTTTACCCCAAATAATTCAAAATTTAGATTTTGAAAAGAGCATGAATCCTGTATCTGTCGTCTTTAATGTTTGTATATTGATGTGCATAATTAACCACAGTCTTTCTGTCCTCTAGTTCTTAATATATGAAAAATTTAAATGTTTAATAAGTTTGAACATTCCCCTTCAGAGTATTACTGCTGTCAATGATTGGCTAAGGGTGGCCATGGCCACCCCTGGCCCCCCATTTAGCTCCGCCCCTGGAGGACGCATATAGAGCATTCAAGGAAAGAGGAAAAAAGACATTAAAAGAGCAAGGAGAGGTATCGAATGATGGATAGGAAAAAGGAAGGCAAGAAAATTAGGATTAAAGGGAGAAATAAGGAAACAAGGCAAATGTGCTTTTAATCACGAATGACTCAGAACAAAACAGACATCCTCACTAGTAGAAACAATGATGGATGTATGCCAGGCCCCTTACCCCTGTGCTTTGCAAAAACACCCACTGTTTTTACAATTTGTCATGATATGAAAAACAAATACAACCAAAACAAAAATACTATGTATTTTGTTGTGATCTTATGTAATAAAACATAAAGTAATGAAGAACTAGAAAGTGGGAAGAAGAGAATACATGATTTTTTCTCAAATTTAAATCTAAAACAAATGGTGCATATTTGTGTTGAACACCCATTACTCTGATACCCCTAAAAGAAGTAAATAGTATCATGACTATCAAGGAGCTCAGCAGATATGAAGATCATGTTATTTAAAACATCCAAAGCTTTGAACACATTGTAGAAGATAATTTAATTCAGCACCCATCATTCAGAAAAAAAAAGTGTGCATGTGACCGCAAATCTACCATGAAGGCAGACAAGAAGAGCGTTTATTAGAGACCGCCATGAGGCCCATGGTTACTCAGGAAAGCTCATTGGATCCACAGCTCGGCTAAGTAGAAACAGTTCACAGGAAAACTACTATTGTTGCACAGTGGTGGTAGCATTATGCTGTGGCTCAGAGCTGCTATGAAAATGAATGAACATAAGAAAAAAAGACATCTTTAAGGGTACTAAAGGCTGGAGACAAAGCTTCACCATCCCAGACATACTGCTGAATGGCTGATTGTGGTTCAGATCAAAATCCACAGCAAATTTCAGCCTAGAAACTGAAACATGACTCGATGCAAAGTAATAGGACCAGGAAAGAAGAAACAATTTCAACTCCCTGCTGAGGTCAATCTACAACTATTAGCTGTGATTCTGACCCCTCATTAAGAAGGTGCAGGCCTCCCCACCACCATGCAGCCCATCAAACTCTCCTTTCCCTCACGGGGAATCTGTAGCACTTAAATATTTCCGTAAGAAATCAAGGCCAAAGAATATTCCAGACAGACATGCAGAGAGACTCGTGAGCTAATGTTATCTGTTCACACTTGTACAAAATATCCAGAAATTAATCAAGTGAAACATGAACTTAGAACAAGAAGTTCTCTAGATAAGTTGGGTGTTAAAAAACATCCTATACTCTGCGTTTTGTTGACATTATCTCCTGAATGACAAAGTTTTCTGCAGTTCTAATATATTTTAACTGATATAAATAACAGGGAAAACAGGCAAGCAGAACGGATCAATTGAATAATTCCTGTGAATCTTCAGCAGAGCTATATGTTCTGCTCACATGTGAACTCAATGACTAATTTTCTGGACTTTGCCCCCGGAAGCTGGCGGAGCATAGTCCAGGGTGTTTACTGCATGCATTTTTCCACCTTTCTATGACCTGACATATACAGTTTTCTGAATGACTCCAAATATCACAAATGCTAACAGTAAGCAGCAACCAGCAGTCCATACAAATAGGCATGACTGTACACGCTGCCATCGACCTGAGAACACATGGAGTCTCATGGACCAGTCCCCCTTCATCTCCCAGGTCCTGCATATTGACGCTCATGATTCAACCTTGTTGATCAGGTAAAGCCTTTTGGATGAGCAAAAAAGCCTAAAACAGCCGTCAAATGTATTACATAAGCTTTTTATACAAGTCAATAAAATGTATTACTGATTACCAGGGGGGAAAAAATGGCCAAATTTAAAGTTACTCTAAACTTAAAAGGGATCTTTAACTGTGTAAAAGAGGTCAGTGCTACTGCTTAGCTTGGATTTTAGAAGTTGATAGGCTAAGGGTGCATCCTGATAGTGAATGTGGTTAGGAAGACTTAAGCTAAAGCGGAAATACACCAACGATAAGGGCTGTCTGAATAGAGCTAGCAGTGAGGAAGCAGGATGGTTCCTATCGATAGTTTGTTTAGCATAGGGGACAACTAATTAAACTAACTATTATTTTGCAAATAGATGAATCTGTTGATACATTTTTCAATTATTCTATTAATATTCGGACAGAAAAACACTTTTTGTGTATGTGAAAATGGTGAAACTAAAACTTTTTCATTTATGGAATGCTGGATAGAGCATATTGACAGATAAAAGTTTGTTGTTGTTTTTTTTAAATCTTAAATACAACATTTTCAACATACAGCCTATTTTTTTTTTAAAAATGTTGGTATAATTACTGCTCAAGGTGGGTCGCTCTGTCAGCCAAAAGCACGTCTCTCTACACCTGTGTTGATTAATCGATTACTAAATTAGTTGATGATCACGATTCATCAGATTAATTGTTTTAGCTCTAAAAGATAGAAGCTACAATTTGTTCAGAGTCTGCCTGTATCCTTCCCTCTGCCTAAATCCCTCAGAAGTGGCTTTCACAATAAAACTTTGATGCCATTTTTCTCCAGTCTTTTGTTATTGCTGCATCTTGAATATTAAAATCAGAGGTACATAATGTCTGGAGAGGTTTTTTATTTTTCTCCATTTGGGCTTTACTGTATAATCCCAATGGCTTTTAGCCTACTTCCTGTTGTTAGACAGGTTTAAGGAGGTTGGTTTGATTGTCTGGTATATTTATGACATCAAACATATTAGAGTAACTCCAAAGGTATATCTAACCCTTTCACACCAAAGCCCTGCATAATGAAATAGATCTTATTAAAAAAAAAAATCTATTTGAACTTTGATGCATTTGCATTTCTATTCTTAATTGATCTAAAAAATAATAATAAAAAAAAGGGAAACCCAGACAGTGACAGCTTCTGCACAGATTTCCATCTAAATCAAATGAGTTATTTGTCAAAGCAGCCAAGGTTAAATGCCTCCTCAGCAGTTTATGAAAAGAAGAGTTAAGAAACCTTGGAGAGAAATCAGCTGATAAAGGTTTATGAACACGATAATCAGCACTTAAAGGGTCATGAACTGTAATAGTGCATCCATTTCCTTAGAATTTCAAAACCAACAGTCCACATATTTGGACTTTTCAACTATTTTCTTCAGTCTAATGTGTTATTGGCAGGTTTAATGTAGGTTTCCAGTGTCATCCAGATAAAAAGGAAATAAGTCCTGATTAAATAAAGCCAGTTTTTAAACTATAAACGGTGGTGATTGGAGATAAAAGACATAAACTTGTTGTTTTGTGCTCTGAACTGTGCGGCTTGGTGTCAGATTTGTGAATGACCGTTTGCTCTCACCGTGTCACATTCCACACCAGCAGGAAAACAGCAGCGCGTCACGTTGCGTGGAAAAGCCCGATGATTTGCAGGACACAAAAAAATAAATCCAAACGTTAAAAAAAAGTCTGATCCCTATTGTTTTATTCGAAAATGAAACACGGAACTTAGTTAACACTTTACCTGAGTCTTCCGAGAGGAAAGACGCGAAATCCGCCCCCGGAAAAACACGCAGCTGTCAGCCAGCAGAGTCACGGAGCGGAGGGGATGGGAAGCCCGACGTGGAACTCCTCTGAGTCCGGCTGCAAAGGACCGGACACCTGTAAGCGCTCACTTTTCGTAAACCTCACCCGGAGCGGAGCAGACTAACCCCGCCCCCTACCGCACGCCGGCCTGGTAAACACCCACGTTAACGAGCGGAACCTTACGTCATTAACCCCGCAGCGCCGCCTGCTGGCGGCTCACAGCAGGAGCAGCTTGTTCGATGTCGCGCCGTATGTCACATGACCACCAGGGGGCCACGTCAGACTGGAGCAACGCTGGAGTTAAACACGCAAAGTGTCTTTTTTTGTTGTTGTTGTGTTTAAATCTCTTCCGTAATTTACTTAAGTTAAAGTATGTTATATCTTACTTCTAATTGTACTCCATCATTGAACACTTATTTAGGAGATACTGTTCTATATCTTGTGATTTTTTTTGTCAATGTTTTGTAATTTGCAACTTTTCAATAAAGCTTTGGATTAAATAAAAAAAAAAGTTTGCAAAGTGTGTTGTGAATATTTATGCCTCTTTTGTTACTGTAAAAAGTTGATGTCGAACAAATAGAAAATAATAAGAGGCAAACATTTCGTTTTTTGTAAAAAAAACAAAAAACAAAAAAACAACCCTTAAAAGAAAGTGTGACATGTATATATCTTTAACCCCTCATGAGGCGTTAAAGATATGTGCATGTCAACCTTTTGCTGGAGACTAATGCCAATTATACTTTGCAAAGTTACTCAGTCAAATTTTAGGTATATGGACTTTGACTTTTTAAATACATCTAAAATAACACATATTATTTCTTACTAAGCAAAGCTGGATCATTTCTAAATGAGTCATTCAAATTAAAAAAACATTTATGAGAACAAACTGAGTCCCTATCATTAAGTGATTTGATTTCTTACTCTCTCTTTTTAGTTAGTTGGCTCAAATTGATCGGGAGTGAAATGTCCACTTTCTGCAACTCCAACAGCGACGTCTGTTCCAACAGAGCAGCTAGTTATCCTGGATTAACTCAAAATTTACCAATCCAACCTCGCCCTTGTACTAAACAAATCAGTGACTGAGGAGGAGTGATTCAGGCCACCAATGCCCCTTTTCCAAAAGCTCTACTTAGGCCTGCCCAATTTCAATCAGTCAACTTTGTGAGCGTTTCTTTTACTGTTTTAGCCACAGGGTGAGGAAAAAAGGAGTGTTCTTGCAAGAATTACAGGAAAAGGTTACTAAACTAAAAAGTGAGATTCAGTTTTACCATTTACAAACTTAAAACTATGAAAGACACAAATTACTGCCTGGCTAAAAGTTGCCTTGTCAACAGATAATCTAACCTGAGCCGTAGATCTCTGCAGCTCATAGTTATGCAGAGCCTCTTTGCCTCTTTCACAAATAATGCTCTCCTTGCCTTGCCTGACTTGTTTTCAAATCTGGAAAGTGATCTAGTTAGTTTTTTTTTTAAATCCCTTTGACAAATAAGCTTGACTATGTTTAAAAAACACAAATCCCAGTAAAATACTACTCATTTAAGTTTGCATGCAAAGGCAGTTTTTCTAAACAGTAATTCATGTATTGTTTACATCACGGTATGATTAATGTAGCATGCTTTATTTTGGGGTAATTGTCCATTAGGCATCTAAAGGCTGTGTAAAATGCTGTAGCACTTCTTTTAAATAGCACAAGACATATGAGCACATTAGCTAGATTTTAACTTCAATTTACTGGCTGACATAATTGCACATTTCACGATTCTCATATGAAGTCTATACTTGGGCTAAAAAAATAATGTAACATCATATCTTTTGTTACTCTATTGGCGCGTAGGCAAATTCTATTGAATTGGAAATCACACACACTCCACCGGCTGCAGCACGATGGCTGCAAGATGTGATGATGTTGTTACACATGGATAAAATAAAATTCACCATACGAGGTTCTGACAAGTTTCTGTCAGTGTGGGGACCTTTAATCTCATATTTCTATGGACTTGATACATTACCAATGTAGCATGCCTTAATCAATGACGGTATTTGGTAGTATACTGGTGTAGCCGACCCCACGCAATTTAGGCTTAGTTTCAGACTTGATCTGAATTTTATTTTTTCTGTACAAGCCTATACTTGTGATTTGACATATATATTTCTATTGTCTTTTCTTTCCTTTCTTGTATAACATTTGTACTTATTTTACTGATCAGGTCCAGGCAGGGTGTGTTGAGGGTGGGGGTTATCTGTTCTGTGATAGAAAAAAAAAGAAAAAAGAAAGAAACAATGTAACTGTTTTTGTACACTATTACTCTCAATAAAAACAAGTAAAAAAAAAAAAAGACAGTTATCTTTGCTTAAAATCTCTTAATGGCCTTGCCCGCTTGAGCAGATATACATTATATAAGGCTGCAGCAGGTCAGGTAATGGCTATAGATCTCCAAACTCCCTCAGTAATGAGGTTGAGGTTTCTGTGTAATATATTTGCTGTTCTTAGAGCTGCTCTCCTCTGGATCAAGATGTCTGATGTATTTTCAGGGATCTGCTGTCACCACTCCTCAAGTTTGGGGGCCACTGCCCGAGAGCCCCAATGACTAGAGCCCCTGGTGTCTCTCTCTCTCTCTCTCTCTCTCTCTCTCTCTCTCTCTCTCTCTCTCTCTCTCTCTCTCTCTCTCTCTCTCTCTCTATATATATATATATATATATATATATATATATATATATATATATATATATATATATATATATATATATATATATTGACTGATACATTTATGAGTTGTATTTTTAGATGTAGGGGAGAATAATACATAGTTTGGATTTGGATTTGGGATATCCTTCTTAGGTCATTCTTTGATTTTCAGCACAGCGCTTTCTTTGTTTATAACTTCTAGGGAACCAAATCATAACAGCAATTAAAAAAAAACTGTTTTAGCCAAGCTTTCTGCTTCCAGAGACTTCCCCCACCTCCCTGGTTGTTTAAATAATATTTTGCGGCCTTCACTAAGGAAATCTACACATCAGACAAAGTTCAAACAAGCGCAAATGATACAGCACAAGTGAGAATATATGAACCTATTTCTCCAATTGTAAAACATCCCTCATGTAATCCCTCTGGAATGCTCCTTTTATAGACATGAATTGTTGCCATTAACCTGTATAACTGTCAAGTCTTCTTCCAGGTATTTTCTCTTGTTCTTTATTCTCCAAACATGTTGGGGCAATAAATCAAAACATGAAAATATATTTTGTAAAAATAAAATGTCACTAGGCACATTTAAAACATAAATCATCAAACATCACTGGAAAAAATGTCACTTTTGATATATTTAAAGCTTCATAAATGACCTCCTCTTTAATGTCTTCATTGCACAGGCTCCTGTTCTTTTGGTTGATGCCACAAAATTAACCCTCTATACCAAGAAGTCTTTATTGTCATTATGTGTCATGATTCATTATTTACACAACTTTTGAATTTAAGAAATTATGTTCAAGTGAATTTACTTAGAGTACCTATATATTATGTGGTTTGCCTGCAATAAAGAAGCAAATTTCAGTTGAAGGAATTTTGACTTTTAATGGGAGTTCTACCATTTAATACTAAAGAAAAAAAATCCCATTTTCTAAAATCAGTTTCTAAAATCAGATTAGAATCTCACAGATATTTAGCTTGTTCATATTTTTTAATCTGAGCAATGCTTTTGTATCATAACAGCATTAGCTAAAGCTACGGGGTATCTGGTTACCATATAACCAGGCTTTCAAAAAATACTGGCCCCTAAAAATGTAAAAAGAGAGAAAAAAAAAAGACAGTAAAACTGAGTAAATATTAAAGGCTATATGAACCCTTTTCTGTTAATAAATAATAGGCTGTGTTAAGGTGAGGATAGTTGCTCAATATAACCAACAATTACAACCAGACTTATCATTTGAGTATTTTAGCAGATACAGTAAGCATAGCAAAATGTTAGACTGGCAACATTTACTGAGAAAACAAACAAAAAAGAGTCATAAATAAGATATACAAATGTATATAATCTGTGATCGTAGAAAAACAACATGCTACCTCATGTTGCTATATTAATACCAACAAATTTGCATTTTGGCACATTTGCATATAACATTCTTTTAACAGGAATAACTGCAATTTGAAACGGTGTTCTTCATCTTTGTGGTTTGCATGTTGACATGAGTTAGCATTAGTTGAAAGGACAACAAAAACATTAACGGTCCTTTAAGTCTGATGGGGTAAAAATCTAATTGATTTGATATTTTTGGACAAACCAATACAGTAGCAACGATATTAGATTTCAATATGGGGAAGAAGTTGCCCCTGCGTTTGCTCTTATCTTGTCTCCAGAAACACACCTTCTGATTTTCAAACTTTAATCTCTGTCCACAAGATAAAAAAAAAGAAAGAAAGAGGATTCTTTATGTATTTTATTTTTAATACATTTGTAGGCGTATACATCTTGACAGGAGTTCCAGATATTACCTGAAAGGCTATTTTGTGATTGTCCACTTTCACCATTGAACACTAGAAATCACAACAAAAGCCATTTGTGTCTTTTGGTTGTATCATACTGTAGCAGAGTACTTACTCTGTAACCATTAAACCTCAAATGAAAACTGAAGAGGTACCTAAAGTACTTCGGAGAAAATTCCAGGATATTTTTCTTATGCCTTTCAATTTAAAAAAATGTGATGTTTTTTCTATTTTTAATACAGAATATTTATAGCAGGGACTATGTATGCTAGTCAACTCAGAGAAAAAAAAAATCCTCATCCAGAAGATTTACAGTAGTGCAGCCTGAGCCTAAGATCCATCTGCCTCCTCCTGCCCACTGCAGATGCTGACTGCTTTCCCTCATGATAAATAAAACAAAAAACGAACATTTGACCAAATAACTTGTTCTGCCATTGCTGCATGTTGTTTAATATCACACAAGGATCCACCGGAGGAGTTATATTTAGATTTATTCAACCATGTATGTTTCATGTAAACAGGTGTGCACAAAGGGAAGACCTCATGGTGAAAGGTCTCAACGCTAAACCAAACGTCTACCTGAGATTCAGTTAATATCACCAATTCACGTGGAACTCACAGAACGATGCAGAGAAACAAACCTAGACTATTTCAGTATTCTGTGGTACACGTTGATGCTACAATAAAACATGTTAGACAGCAGTTCTCAGAGACAGTTTTGGTAACTTTACAAGCTACAATGTCGGCCCTATGTTATACAAAAGGTGAGTCATAACATAAGTTTTTATTTACTTTTTTCCTTCTTTCAAATTTTTTTTTTTTTTTTTTTACAAATCTTTACTAAAACTCCTTTAAAGTCTTTAATATTGCTCTTGCTACATTGAAAAAAAAATAGAAAAGTTACATCTGAACATTGAGCAGTGGGTGTTGTTTTAATAAAGAGTGTCACCCTCTAGTGTCCATGGCTATGTTTCAATAGTCCTTAGCAGTTAAGTGTTTGTGTGTGATTTTCTCTGTAATCATTACATACTCGTCACTTACTGCAGAAGAAGGAACGAAGCAAAAGAACAACACCACAGAGACATTTTGGAGGCCTGTGAGCTGAAAAAGAAACACCTAGGGTTGTGTTGCTGAAGTGCTGGCTATCACTGAATCTTCCCCTCCCTGAGCTCCTTCCTCTTTCACTGCTGTTGCATCCATTTCCGCTGCCTGATCAGCAGCCACAGAAGAGGTGTGCGTGTCAGGGGCTTCGAAGGACTCGCCTCCGAGGTCGCTCAGTTTGATGTAGCCCTTGCTGTTTGAGCGTTCCAGTCGGGGGCAGCTGAAACGCCTCGCTCTGTCACTTTGACGTCCCCCAGACACAGACAGGCTGCAGCGACGGACCAGCCTTGGCTGCTCTGCAAAAGAGTTCAGCGACGTATTTGAGCTTGTTGCCGTGGAAACAGGCTCTGGAGGAAACAGCTGGGTCCAATGTGCATGAGGCTGAGACTGCTGCGCCCCCTGTTGATTACCTGTCTCTATGCTTATGTCCTCCTGACTCTGATGGGGAGGTGGGGTGTTCGTCTCTGCTGATTCCCTTTGCATACCGTCCATCTCCACACAATGGCTGCTGCCGCCATGTCCTTCCTCCCTGATGTTCTGGGCAGCAGCCTCAATAATAACCTCCTTCTCTGAGCGCCCCTCTGCCTCCGGTCTCTCTGACTCCTCTACCTCACAGTTATTTAGTTTGATCACTGGGAGCGTGAATGCGTTCACAGAGGAGGTGACGATGGAGGTGGTCTCCCACTCCCGAGGCTGTGGGGCCTGCTCGCTACTGCTGCTGTAGTCCTTATAGATGCTGTAGACAGTATCTGTAAAGCTCTGCACATCTCTGGAAAAACTACGTGGCCTGCCGGCCAGTGAGGAGCGTCTAAACATCTCATTAGTGTCTAACTCCCCCTTCAGGTGGAGTCCGGTGGAAGGCCAGGAGCTACGAGTGTGGGCCCCACTTGCAGGGAATGAAGCAGACGGGCCCTCGGCGCTTCTCGACTGAGTGTAGTTCACCAGGCCGTTCAGAGGTGAGTACTCCTTAGAGCGTATGCTATGCAGATCAATCACTGTGGAATAGATGTCTCTCAAATTAATGATTTTGGTTTTCTTATCTCGGTTTTCATGGAGGACGGCGTTGGCACAGATGAAGAGGAAAATACCGATCCCCATTACCAGGGGTCCGAAGACTTTCAGATTGTCTGAGTAAAGGTAATTATCCAGGAAGTCACAGAGGATGCCACAGTGGTGAGCGGGCTTCGGGACACTGCTGTTGGAATGGCTGTGGTTCGACATGGTTGTTTGCCGGGTTGAATGATTTTCATGGGTCAAGTTAGACTGCGGGCTTCTGGAGTAGCTCATCTTGCTGTTATAGAATGCACCAGTCCTGCGACGTTCCTGGTACTGTTGCTGACTCTGGCTGGGCCAGTAACCCAGCACGGCCATGGAAATCCCAACCATGAGGATTACGACTCCAACAGCAGCCACCAAACCAGCTGGTGAGCAGAGATTGAGTTTTCCTTTCACAATCACCACATCGTTCTTCTTCTTCTTTTTGGATTTCCGTTTTCTCTTGTTTTCAGCACGATTTTTGGAGCGGAGAGAATCCTGCCGCCTGTTCATGCGCAGCAGGCCACCGGTGGCGATCATTGTGGAGGCTGGAAAACAGGCTCCTTACTTAGTCTATGGAGAGACAAAACAGAAGAGTCCAGAAATATCAGCCGGAGCAAAACATTGAAGTTTAACATTTACAGGAAAACAAAAAAAGAAAAGTTTCATTTCAATCATTTTAATAGTTTGCTGAGCAAGTACTGGTCTTAAAATGAACCAGTTCTATGGAAGAATTTTTGCATTCAGTCTACAAATAATATGTAGATTAAAGCTTTTTTAGCAACGATGTGCAAAAACCAAAATAAACAAATTGTGCAATATTGGTATATTATCTATAGTGCACTTTTCATAAGTATGTCAAAGTTTTCCACACATAAGTAACAATTTACAGCAAACAGGTGGATTTACCCCACCAACTGTTTGTAATCCCCACTAGACCCATTGCAAAACAAGCTAGTCCAATCATAGTTTAATAAAACAAAACAGGGCCATAAAAGAACATTGAGAAATAACATAAAAACTACTTAAAACTCCCATAAAAATCATATTTCCAAAATTTAGAGATGCACACTTTCCCTCCCCTGTACAGCCTCTATGATGGTTGGTTTTTAGTGGCTGTTAATATTTTATATTGATAAACAGGACGATTTATTCATGTTCATTTATGGTGTTTTTGTTTAATTGCATGGAAATTCTTCTTCCTCTGACATGGGAGTTGGCTCAGAGCTCGTCTGCCTAAATGTTTCCTGAACGGGGTCGCCTTTTACAGTTGCCTTTTGTATCTCTGCTTCTTTTTCTGTCTCCTTGAACCCCAGTTGGCCTCAGCAGATGGCCGCTCACACTGAGCCTGGTTCTGCTGGAGGTTTCTTCCTGTTAAAAGGGAGTTTTTCCTCTCCACTGTCGCTACAAGCATGCTTATTGTGAGGGATTGCATCCAAGTCAGTGAGACGGTGCAATCAACAGGTTTTCCTAAGGTAGACAATTTTGAATCAATTTGACTGTATGATCTGGTGAACTGTAAAGTGCGTTGAGATGACATGTGTTGTGAATTTGGCGCTATAAAAATAAACTGAATTGAATTGAATTCAGATTTGCCCAGTGCATTACCTAACATTATTCTACTCATTATTTCTGACAGTCTATAAATATCCACATGTTTATGGACTATCAACGTTCATTGTACCAGTGCCTCCATCCATCCATCCATCCATCCATCCATCCATCCATCCATCCATCCATCCATCCATCCATCCATCCATCCATCCATCCATGCTACTCATTCTAGCAGGGATAAAGTCAATGAGAATTTTAAAGTAGAGTTAGGTTATAAAACAGTTTCCCAAGGTTTGGGCATCTGATTCAGCACTGGTTGATTCATAAGTGAAAATGGGAATGGTTATTTCTACAACAAACCTGCCAATACATGTGACCTCCACCCACACTAACCAGTCCATTAAGGTGAGCGTTTATTCAAAAAGCAGCCATAAGTCAAAAGTAACTGCTGAGGAGCTACAGGGCTCATCTGCTCAGGTTTCAGTGTTAAAATCTGTTTACAGGACAAATATTCAATTATTAACTCTACAAATCTGGCTTTTATATAAGAATAGCAAAAGAGGAACATGTGTTTAATGAAAGCCTTAAATAGTCCTTAAACAGCTAATACTACACATTAGCATGAATGTAGCATCATTGTGGTTACATAGGCAGCATGGTGTAGAGAAGCCTCTCTTCACTGGAGGGAAGGAAGGTGGCCAAAGAAGATGGTTGGAAGTAAAAACATGACAGCTTTTAACAAAACCAGATTAAAGAATGAGGCAGAGATATTTTTTCAGATGGACAATAACCTTAAAATACTGCAAAAAGTGGCAGTTCTAGACCATATTTACTAGGGGAGACCAAGGTTGGGACAGTGTGTCTTCATAGCGTGCAGAAAATCTTGCAGCAGGGCAATGAGTTCTAATTTAAAATAGGTTAAGAGAGCTGCAGAACCCAAAAGCCACTAGTATTTTTAGTTTGAAAATTTTGCTTTTCATTTTTTAACATATTTACAAAATCCCATACCATGGAAAAAAGGACACTGAAATAATTATTTGCTTGATAAATATCAACTTAGAGATAAAATAAAGCTATTTGATTATTTTTGATCAATGTACATTCATATTTCAGGAATATTACATATTTTTACGTATTTTAAACGATAATTATTAGTTTAAACAAATCAGAATTAGATCTTAAGTAAAAACTGATAAATTCCCGGTAACAAATTTTGTTTTTTAAATTTTGTTTCAAAATAACATTTATGATTTGAAAACTGTGATCCTATCTCAATACGACTGAAGCTATCACCTTAATTTTATAAATCATAATTAAAACAGAATTATAAAGAAAAAAAAAGGAAGTGGCTCTAAGTCACTACATCTGTTCCAGCGTATATTATAATTAAATTTTTTTTTAGTATTATGTCTTCAGTACAAGGGGTCATAACAGGGGCCAGGATGAGTTCTATGGAGGAACGGGCCGCTGTCTATAACCAAACATGGATGCAAAAGCTAGGTACTAAGCAGAGGTGTACATCAAAGCCTGTTCATGTGTTAGAATTACAGCCCGAAACAAATTAAACTTTAACAACTTCATTTTTCTTTGCATCCAATGGGACAGAACTTATTCTGTTTTGAAAATGAGACAGAACATTTCTGTCTCAAGATGTGTAAGTTATCTAAGACAAAGATGGTTCTGGTGCACACCAAAAATTTCAATTATAATTTCAGAAATGAACTGTGAATTGAACAGAACTTCCTTCCCACTCCCACACTCACTACTGCGTAGAAATGTAACACCTACAAATGTATACATAATTAAATTATAGATATAACTAATAAATACGTATTAAATTCTATGTGGAATGTAGTGACAATGTCTGTGGAGGTTTGAAGACTTATGTAATCCCATTGTTCTTCACATGAACAATTGTCCCGATTCCTACTTTTCTAATAAGTCCATTTCATCCCAAAGTCTATTAAGTGAGCAAATTAATTAATTTATGTACATATATTCACCTACACACAAATTAATTAATATCACTACATCAAATAAAAGTGGTTGATTAAATAAAACACACCTCATCAAAAACAAAAAAAACAAAAAACAACAACAATAGAATTAATTCCTTAAAACCCTTCACCATCAAAAGAAGCATGATATTATGAAGCCATTTAGTATAGCTGATGTGAGGCTGGTTCAAATCCAAGCTCCACTGTTCTCTGTTGTCGTGTCCTTTGGCAAGACACTCCACCAGCATTGCCTACTAATGGTAACGCCTGGTGGTTCCTGTGTATTGCAGCCTTTCTGTCAGTGAGCTCCAGGGAAGCTGTGGCTACAATATAGCTTACCACCATCAGTGTGTGTACATGTGCATGAATGGGTGGACAACTGAATGTAAAGCACTTTAAACTTCTTTGCAAAGACGCTGTATCCGTACAGTGTTTAGGATAAGTTGAGTTATTGTACGTTAAACAGGACATAATGAAAAAAATGAGATAATTCAATTATTATTAAATAAATCCTTATAAAAAGTCTGTGGTCTGTGGTCAATTTGATGACAAACAAATTATTGATAATCTGATAACCAATAATTTATTATTGACAAATTTGTCTTGCTGACCACTTTCCTTATAAGCTAAGAATAGCAAAGCTGCTGATTGACAAAACAAACCAAGTTCAGAAATAATATCATTGTATGTTTTCATCCCTAGAAAATGCTGCCAGTCTTAAAGTAAACAATTATTACATTTTACAAATCCTTCTCACTCATTTTTAAGTCTGGTGGATGAAACTACACGTCTTATTCAGTAACTCTAAAATAAATTTCTATGTTGATATAAACATATATTTTTAAATATTTTAATATATGTTTATTATTAGATTTTAGTATCTAAAATACAGGATATACATCCACATGCAGCCTGCTGTGACGGGGTTCTATTATGACTTGGTCAAACACATAAATGACTGGCCAATGCCGGAGATAAGTTTAGTGATTTTTTTATTCAGTTATTTTTTTCTTCTGGTGAACAAAGACGGTTGGTGCAAAAATATTTACATGGACATCCAAGGTAGGTTAAAATCAGAAAAAGAGCAGTACCTTCAAAAAATCAGAATCCATCACCTTCAGTGTGACATCTCAGGAGTCCAACCACAGACTGACTCCCTGTGGAACAGAGGCCTGCTTTTAAAGCTATAGGCTCCACCCACAGAAAGCAAAAAAAAAAAATAAAAATTAAATAAAAATAAAAACTAAACAATTACTTCTAATTCACTAAGTAAACAAAAATAATGATTTTGATAATGATGACAATAATAATAATAATAATACCATACTAAAGAGAGAGAAAAAAATAAAAATAAACTTGTAATCAAAAATACAATACTCAATTTAATACAACACACTCTGTACGTTCTGATGACATCACTGCGTCATCACGTGACTCCCTCCCGGCGCGCTACAATCTGGAAATAAACCTGTTTGAAAATAGATGCAGAAAATATACTTGGTTGAAAATAAGCAGGTTAGAATAAATGTTAAACGAAAACCGGACCATCGCGTGTGCACCCACGATGAACGGCGCCAGCCCAACCTGCAACAAAAGTAAGTGATTGCGTACGTGTATGTATGCGAGTGTGTGTGTATGTTTGTGCGCATGCTGACATGGACTTATTCCTAAGTCCTGGCTGATGACGGCTCCTCCGTCACACCTGCATAAAACCAATTGTTTTGTTGAGCAGAACAGCATTTTCACTAATTTTGGAAAATAGAAGCTAATTGGTTTAGCACACCCTAGAATAGGTTCTACTGACTTTGAGTGGAAGTCACAAGTTTGTTCCTGTCTGTTATGGGCATGTGTGATTGTGTCTGGACATGTCTCCATTAAGCACACTACTGGCAATTTGGAATACCAAGTCGTCGCTGAGAGCAGACATCATTTGGGAAAAGCAGCAACAGCTGAGTGAGGGCAGTCACTAACTGTTTTCCATTATTCTTCTGTTATGTAAGGCTAGAGCAGTTATTGTTTGGC